TTGCAGATATCTTAAATACAATCTGTGCAGTCAGTGAATATTTTTAATTCTGAGGAGAAATGCTGCTGATATCTTCAGTATTATTGGTCATAATTAGAAGTGTAGGCAACCAAAACGACTGATGATGATTTGTACTTGTGAGCGTGTTTCAATTATTCATTATTAAATTGAGGTTGTCTGAAATCATTTTAGATATCTGACATTTAAATTATGACTTGTAAGTGAATATTGGATAACTAAAACACACCGTTTATCTAGAATTTAATTACTAATAACTGGATGCCTGAAATGTTTATTTTCACTACGAAGAACTAAATTATGGATATTAGTAATCATTGAAGTTTTTAAATGTTGAATAAGGTTGCAGCTTGAATGTGGCAGATTTCATCAAACAGTCTCGATGTGATGATAAATAGGTTTTATTTTACAGTTTGGCCTCTTTAACCACTTCAGGTTGACACATTTTCCTAACCTCTAAACCTCCAAGATGATGTGTTTCTTCATCATGATGCAGCATTCGTTATCGATGACCGATCAGTTACTACATCAGTCAGTTTGGATTGTATTAACACTCATATTGTGTCATGTATAGATCCTCATTCCCCAGTTATCCTCTCAGTATTTCCTGCCGAGCCTCCTTGAAGTCACACTCCAGCCTTTTCTTGTATCTGCTCTTGTAAGATTTTGTTCCAGCGAGGTTTTTTGGACTCGTTTGCCTCCACTGACTGCCTACTAGTTGCCTATTATGCCTACAGACTAAATAAAGGCTGCTTTTATCCTACTCCTCCTGTCTGCTGGATCCACTCAGTAAAGAATTGTTACACAAAGTGTCCAAACCCACAGTCTGTCACATCCCTCCTCCTCCTCCTCCTCCTCCTCCTCCTCATCCTCGGCCTCCTCTTCTTCCTTGTTGCTGGCTGTGTGGTTGTTTCCTGGCTCGGGAGATAACAAGCAGATTAGGAGAAGACATCCGGAAATGTTCTACACCGGAGTCACTCGAGCTCCTCGGTGGCTTCATTTTCTAACCTTCAGGCCTCCAGCGGCTGGTTTCAGGTGCTTTGTGATGCTCGTTCACACTCGGTTTCCATTTCTGACCTCCTCAACGGCTGACTTAACCCCTTAACGCTCAGCTTCTAATCTCTAAAGACTAAAGGCTGGAAAGCATTTTATTAACTGGACTCAGTGAAAACATTTAGGATATAAAACAGATGACGGTTCTGCTACACCGAGCTGCTGCTGCTGTGGTTGTGGTTTCTAAAGATACCGTTCACTGTTTTATGCAGTGAAATAAGTCCATGCAGATGTTTATAAAGGGGTTAATGTTTAATTTTAGGTCAGTTCACATAACCTTTATTCTGGTGTGACTCCCTTTTATGCCACGTATTTTGGACTGTTTGAAAAAAAAATCACCAAATTTTCAATTTACATCGACAGCAAGCTGAGGAAATCTGAAAAATCTAGCAAATTTGTGAAGCTATGAACAAAATAATTGTTGTCTTTTGTGCTTCATGCACAATTTAAACATGAATTTATAATCAGAATAATAATTGGTGACCATTTTCTAATGAACTAACCATTTGGAAGTTATTCTTTTTTCCTTCCCTGCAGCGCCCCCTTCAGGAGACAACGAAAGTGAACGTTTTGAGTGTCTTGTCTATCCTAGACATTCATTCTGCAAAAATTGCGGCCGGGAGACTTTGCTGGGCGTCAGGACAGTGAACGGTGCTGGTATTGTGGTGTGATGTGGACATGCTACACCAACATGGAGTCTGATTGGAGACGACGCCGGCAGTTACCCGAGAGAGAAGGAAGTGCAAACGGTACGAATGTAAACAAAGGAGGAGGAAGAGAGCCGGGATCCATGCTAGGCTAAAGGCTAACCCCTCCAAACCAGCAGGATCCATGCTAGGCTAAAGGCTAACCCCTCCACCAGCAGGACCGTCCTCCTACTCTCCAATGTCCGCTCCTTCGACAACAAGCTGGACGAGTTACGTTTGCTGGGAGAAGAGAGTGGAAACACTGCTGTGTATTTGCTTTAACAGAAACATGGCTCCATGACAACATCCCAGACGGACATACAGCTGGAGGGGATGACATTGTTCTGGGCAGACAGACAGACAGCTAGCTCTGGGCAGCATCTGCAGCTTCACCATTGTGTGTGTCTTTGTGTCCCTGAGGACCTACCAGGACCTGAAGAGGTTCACCATGTTCAACGAATGGACACAGCGCCCCCTTCAGGAGGCAGCGACAGTGAACGTTTAGTGTCTTATCCCAGATGTGGATTCTGCAAAATTTGCTGGTTGAATAATCCTGAAGAAACGCTCTCTCATCTTGCCTGTACTACTGTGTATATACAGCAACATGACAATAAACCTGATTTAATATGATATTGTAGTTGTATCAGAAACACCCAGACAGTGTGCAGGGTTTGGGTTTCTCTTATGCTAACCTGAACCAAAACAGTGCTGCCTTTGTATTTATCTCTCTTTAGAAATTTGCAGATTTTAGCCATTTCAACTGGAGATCATGTTTTACAGTTGCACACCTACACATGGCAGATATTTAACACTTCAGTATTTTTAGACTCACTATGATTACATTTTACTTACATTTTGCAGTCTTTCCATGCTGTGAAACACCACATAAAGAGAACTGAACTGAAGAATTCAATTATAAAGCAAAGCAAAGAAAAAAGTTTCCCAGAAACACGGGTGCAGCAGACATCTTCTCTCAAATCAAAGGTCTAAGCATAGACGTATAGCTTCCTCTGAGGTAAATTTGTAATTCTAAGCTATCTTGCTAAAATTACCTCCACTGGACTGAATATAAAATAATCGCCCTGCCGAGGAGGAGAGCTGCAACGGCAAACTGTGCAGTCACAATCCATTAGGCAACGCTTAAACACAGGAGGAAATTGTTCCTGTCAAACATGAACGGATAATTAAATAAATAATCCACTGCAGCTTCTCAGAAATGAGGGAAACGTCTCAGTTTTTGGTTTAAGGC